TTATTACTTTGGAAGAAGAAGGAAGCAAAGAAAGAGAAACTTGCAGAACAAGGTAGTAAACAAAAGCCGAAGAAGGAGAAGAAAGTCGTGGACTTTGATGATTCGGAAGAAACCCTAAAGATATTGCTTGATTGGAACCAAACTAAGCCGAGAAATCCTCCGATGGTCGATCCCGAGGCGGTAGGGGTTTGTAGTGAGTTAATGAGGAAACAGTTGATGGGGAGTGACGTGAAGGGGAATCAATGCAGGCTTATGTTAGTGAAGAATGAAGCGAAGAAGATGATGCTTCGTGTTTTCGAGAAAACAGAGAGAGGAATTGGGACTGATGGGCTTAAGGTTTCGGTTTACGGGCAAGACGGAGAGGTTTATGAGATGATGTTGAAGATGTGGAATAAGAACACGGTCCCTGTCTTGACGAGTTCGGTATGGAACAAGTTTGTTGGTGATTATGGTCTCATGAAGCATAGCGATTTTCTAACTATTTGGATGTTTAGGCACATAGAGAGTCGTAAGATTTGCTTCGCGATTGACTCCAAGAGGTTTACTTCTATAACGAAAAAGCTGAGTTCGAGGATCTCGAAGCTTGTCTTCGATTAGGGTTTTTGTTTGTTTCTTTTTGGGGTTTTTAGGGTTTTTTGTTCATAATTAAAAAGAAAAAGACAAAAAAAAATGTGTGAAATTAAAGGTTTTCATGGTTTTTTTTTTATTTCTTTGTTTTCTTTGTCTTTTTCAATATTTTTATTTGTTAACATCAACACAAGTTTAATTGTTAACAACGAAAAAGTAAAAAATTTCTTACATGTGCTCTGATCCTAGTTAATGAAAATATAAGTTATATTATTATTTGTTAATATCAACAAGTTAAATTAAATTGTTAAAAACCAAAAAAAGTCACATTATTACAGACTTCAAGTTTTTAAAAAGAGAAGACTTGCTTCATTCCGTGGAACACTTATTTTTTATTTAGTTAAGCTTCCAATATTTATTTTTGATTTAGTTAAAATTTCAAATAATGATATATATATACAGTCTTTCTTAGTTAATTTTAAATAAAATAAATAAATGAATTAATATTTAAAGTTGAATTTTAATTCTTTTTTTACTTAGATAATGATGAGCTAAATAACAAAGAGGTATTTTAAGCTTCCACGTTTAAAAATGTATTTTTCAAAAAAAAAAAATCATCCAACTGTAAATAAATTAAAAAATCAGCCGTTGTGGTCTCTAATTTATTTTTCAAGAACACCAAAATTCAATGAATTATCCCCCTAACTATTAAAAGAGAAGTACTATTAGTGAGAATGCTTATTTGTTTTAATTTAATTGGAGGAAAAGGATGACATGTATTTAAAAAAAGATGATATGGCTTAAATCTCAAACTAATATTTTAACACAAATTGAATTACAATAATAAATTTCAAAAATTATAATTTCTATTTCAAAAATTTGTTTAAATTTAACAAGAGAAATTTCAAAAAATGTCACTTTTCAAGTGCCACTTTACAAAAATACCACACTTTTGAAATCTTCACAAAAATGCCACTTTTTCAAAATTATTTTTTCTTTAGATCATTTATGTTTGAGTTAATTATGTTCTATTAGGATTTAGTTATGAGGGTTTAGGAGGTTTTGGGGGTCAAAACATTTTTTAGGGTTTAGAATTTTAAGATATAGGCTTTATAAATCTATAATTAGTGGCATTTTTGCAAATAGACATCTCTAAGTGGCATTCTTGCAAATGTACACACAAAAAATAGTATTTTTGTAATTGTCCCATTTAACAACCATTCCAAAATTTATTTTCTTTCAAAAAAATATTATTGTGGTTTTTTTTGCCCCATTTAAAATACTAAGAACAATTTTCATAACTTTTTTTTTAAATTAACCACCAACTTCAAAATTTTCAAAAATCCCCTTACTATTAAAAAAGAAGTACAATTAGTGAAAATGCTTATTTTTTTTAATTTAATTAGAGGAAAATGATGACATGTCTTTAAAAAAAGATGACATGGCTTAAATCTCTAACTAATATTTTAACAAAAATTGAATTACAATAATAAATTTCAAAAATTATAATTTCTATTTCGAAAATTTGTTTAAATTTAACAACCATTCCAAAATTTATTTTCTTTTTAAAAAATATTATTGTGGTTTTTTCAAATAAAATAATAAGAACAATTTTCATATTTTTTTATTTAAATTAACCACCAATTTCAAAATTTTCAAAAAATTAATAACGAATAGGAAATTGTAAAAAAATTATCAACAACTTTATGTAAAAAAATATTATAATAAATTTTGTAGTCGCCTAATATAATACTCAATTTTGTATAGAAATTATATTTACATAACATATNAAAAATTAGTGGCTATAGAAAATCAATNNTCATATAAATGATAANATGTTATATTTNAAAAGATAATANCCATAAANATNAAATATTCNAAATAGATTCTACCACCATCAAAATCTATAAACAATTGCTGAAAATATTTTTGTTAGGCGGTCATTTTAAATAGTTAAAATATTATTTTATTATTTTTAAATAAGTGTTTACAACAAAAATAATAACATGATGTTGTTCAGTCTTCAGCTAAAGTCAATCAAAGATTTTTAGTGAATCTTTCATGCGACTCAATCAAAGTAAGAATTTAATTTTTTAGCCCATCTATGAATTTTGGTTTTTTTTTGTTTCCGTGTGTATTATGTTCTTAAGTTCTGCATGTCTCTTGATTTTAAGTTTTAATTGTTTAGATTTTTATGCAGTTTTTCACACTTAGTTGTCTTTTTACTAGCTAAAACTAATTTGATATTTGTTCTAACTTATTGAAAGAATAATGATTAACTAGGTGAACCAAAAAAAATGAATGAATTATAACATTACCATTAGTGAAGTTTGCAAATTCTATATGTATTCAGATGAGGAGAGTGAATCTTCTACAAAGAATAATACATATATGTTTTGTTTGATTTTGAGTTTTGTTTGTTGAGAATTGTAGTTGTATGACTTTTTTGTTTCTTGTCCTAACTAATGTTTCCAATTTGTTAAAATATTTTTTCACTAATTACAAAATTTTACGTATTATTTTCTGTCCTGTCGTTTATGTTTTATTTCAACACTAATATAAAATCGAAAAAAATGTAAAACTCTCATTTTTAAAATAACATTCAAAATATTAAGAATATTATCTCATACATTAATTTTCTATATGAATTTAAAATTTAAATCAAGCAATAATATATATTTATATTTTTACACGTGGTAAAATAAAATTATTAGCTAAGAAAATTGATGGAGTTTCATAAACAAATTCATACCTGCACACGGTGCGGGATAATCATCTAGTTTGTATATAAAATTCATACAATTTTTTAGTTACATAATTTGGAAACTTCCGAAAATAGGGTTTTTGGTTGTTCGTTTCTTAAAGGTTTTTTGGGGTTTCATTAAAAGAAAAAGGTACAAAAAGGGAGTTTTTATGCAAATGGGGTTCTTTAAAGAGTTTTTTCTTCTCGTTATACACTTGATTTTTCTCTATAAACTTGTTATTATCATAACAAATACATGACAATAGAGTCTACCTTTTTCCAAATAATACTCTCGGTTTGAG